GTCCTCGGGTCACGCTGGATCGCCGTTCGATCGCTCGGGGCAGAACAACTCGAACAACTAACTGATATCGATATGGCATCGCGACGACAACGGTACATACATATATATATTATACGTACCCGACAGAAAGGAAGATGAAAAGGCGGCACCGAGGGCATCATTGGCAGTTACTTGACGAGCGTATATATAAAAGGCCACTTCTGCACCGGTTTTCCGTGGCGGTCGAGTTTTATAAGCAATGAAACACGCCGGCGAAATGTCCTTTCACCTTGCTGCACAGACGACGAAACTTTATCGCCCATCGCCGGGAGAACAAATCCAATCGGAACGCTTCCGTTCCACGTTTACCGCCAATACTCGCGATCTGTGTTTGTTCTCGTTATGGGGCAAACACGCGGTCTGACCACCGAGTGGATGTCCCCGTTGAAACTCCGTCAGCTCGTCAAGTTGGATTGATATCCTCGTGACTTGTCAGAGGTTGCCCCCTCGTGAATTTTCTTCTTTCAGGATATACTGTCGCAAGATTACTTTTTATCAGCTTCTCATTGATTGAAACAGCCTGAAATGTAACGATCGGGCCTCGTGTAATATTCACCGTCACTTTCAATTTTCTTCTCCTTCATTTTTTAATTATTCAAGTTCTTTTACGTATATATTTATTACGTTGTTGCTATTATTATTAGACAAAGTAAGTTGTCTTAACTTAAAGACAAGGAATCGATTATTTCAATTATTATTTCTCTATAAAACAGAATTATTTGAGAATCATTGTTTTTCGAACTTTCACCCAATTAAATGACAGTCGAGGGACATACAGAACGATCGCGTAAAGTGAGGAAGCTTCATTCAAAGAGGAAGCTGCATTTTTCCCACGTAAATAGTTGATTCTCAGCAGGGCTGTTGAACGCCACGCACTTGAAACCTGCCATCCGGGAGAATGCGCTTTTTTTTCGAGCGCGCTTTTCCGCTGCTCTTCTCCATGTCGTTCCCCGTCGTAGTCGTATAAACGAGGCATTCCCGCAATCCCGCTCCTTCTGTGTTATTTAATTTTCCCCTCGTTCGCTTCCTCTCGCGTTTCATCCCTTTCTCTATCTCTTCTTTTCAACTCGGTTGCCGCATATTTGCCTTTCGGACAAATAAATATCTTCCACGCGCCCACACGCATTTCCTTGCCTCGTGATTCTTTTTCCAGAGATGGGGAATAAAGACTTTATCCCATTCCGTTTCATTTTATTCCGCCCACACTCACGCGCGGAACACGCTGTCCCGGGACTATGCGAGACTACTTGAGACACCATTTATACGTCGATACTCTTCAGGTGGTGAATTTATGTATTAAAATAAATCAAGGTCGCCACTTTGAACATCATAGATAAAGAACAATCTCTGGATGCTCAACGAAAGTGAGCTTTGAACGACGTTGCATAATCTTGGAACATCGATATTATCTAGATCATTGAATTTGTCTTGATCTCAACTAAAAGACTGTGAAAAGTATACAGTCTCATTTCAAAAAAATAAAAGTCACCTTGAGAAACTTTGAAAGTCAGACCACCTAGATAAGACTACGATGTCCCTCTTGAAACAACGTTGAGTTTTACTTGAAACGTTTCTCTTTGTAGCGATTAATTTAAAAGAAAATGGAACATCCTGCATATCAGACATTTCAAAAGTTCTCTTTCGAAAAATAGTATTTATACAGAATCAAATAAAACAAACAGAATTGTACTATAATAGGAAATAAGTAAATGTAACAAGAAATAAACTAAAGGGCCGTGTTTCTTTTAGACACAGTAGAGCAAAATTCAATGAAAAACTCGTAAAATGTCGAATACTGATCACATTGTCAAACTGGTCACCTCGACACTTTTGTCCACAATATCTATCAAGTTCCGTCAGGCTTCTGTTTCAAGCTTCTAATCGTGTCCGAAGTGATTCGAACTTGTCAAACGTACGATACAGAAACGAAGCGATTCCAAGTGTCTCCAAGATCCCATCGCCATCCGGGACCATTAGGAACGTACACAAACGTACGCACAGTATGCGAACGCAGGTAGAGATCCAGGCAGATTATCGGTCGAGCGAACCGGTTACGAGAGGCGTGTAGCTCGAACGGAGGGGGCGACCCGATCGGAATTGCTAATTAGGCGCGTGTAAAATTACTGTAAATCGACGAGCCGACTATTACCGTAAACAGCCCATCCTGTCCGGGAATATTTCACCATGGCGTGTGTTCCAACGAAACGTTTATCTTCGAACGAACGAGATTTAAACGCGAACGACTCGCTAAACGATTTTCCACTTTGGCCGACGAACGCGTGTTTGGTCGTCGGGGATGTCGGAGATGCGGCTGTTTCGAATCTTTCTCGAAGGGGCTGAGCGAAAACCGTTGTTCGCCGGATGCCACGTTCGCGATGCAAGTGAAGTTACAAACTGGGAAGTTCCGTCTCAGTATATTGAGAAGATCGACTTCCACGCGCGTGTATAGGAGTTACAGTGTATTTAAGTTCAATGGTCCACGATGTTTCGTTTCTTACTTCATATTATATAGCTGTCTTGCATATCTTGTTTTGTATATTAGAAATTGGAATATTCTTTAAAAAAATTTATCAATGACCTTGAAGAGAGGAGATCGAGAGATGAATCACAATACTTGTTATCTTGGCGCCAAGAAAATCGACTAAAATTATTCAAAATATTAAATCGTTTCCTTCGACGCGAAGCGAAAAATTATCATATCGCGCAAATACATTGATCACCCCCCCCCCCCCATTATCAATACCACACAAAGGTAAAAGAGTGCGAAATACGAGCCAAGATAAAAATTCGCAGTCAATTAATTACCAAATGGCCGGCTCGGGTGAAATATCGCGACAAAACAGACGCCGGTGCCGCGATAAATATTCGAAACGAGCGGAATTTCAGATTCATGAAGTTCGCACGCGGCGTATGAATTAGCGGTAAGAGGTGGTGGAAGTTTAATCGGGACACGCGGATCCTTGATATCGGGCAGCGGAACCGTGCAGAGGAACGCAGGCGCAACGTACCACGCGTCTCCGCTTGAAATTACACCGTGCCTCTCTCGTTCAGTTTCTCCAGGGGCCACAAATCGTTCGAGAGCATCCAGATCTCGTGCCAGTCCTTGCCCCACTTTTCCCTCTCTGCCTCTCCTCTCCCTCTCCCTGTTCCAACCCGCTTTCCCCTCCAACTCCTCTCCCCGGATGCCTTTCAATTACCGTAATTTTCGTTATAAATTTATCTCGTTGTAAAAACGTTTTATTACGCAATCGGGCCGATTTAGTGCCAGCGCCGATTTCGTGCGTTCCAGGCGCGTCCATAGATCTTGCTCGACGGTTCGAGGGTGAACGAGGACGATACGAACGGGCCGAAATTCACGGCGATGCTGTTTATCGCGCTCGAAGGTTGTATCTCGGGTAAATGAACGAACCGTTCTTCGCCAAACCGTAAAGCTTTCCACTGCTCCTCTTCTTCTTTTTATTTTATTTCCTTTTTTTTTTTATTGGCTCTAGACATTTTGATTGGTGAATCTTTATTCTTCTTTTATGGGTATTCTTCAGGGAAGGATTAACGAACATTGAGGATTGGAGCATCGCGTAAGTTTCGTAATCTCGACGGATTGTAAGATTAGTTTCTTAATGGATCTTTCCTCGATAACCTTGATTTTTTATGATGTTTGAGTAACCTCGCAGAAAGAAGAGCGCAGGAATTTTCTATAAACTTTTAATATAAAGTTGAAAATTTTTCAAGATTGGAAATTTCACAATTCTTACAATCCTTAAGTACTACAGGCATTGAAACTTTCACGATTATTATTCAAGATCTTACAGGCCGCTGATATTCATCAACTTTTACTTGCAAACATTTAATTGTTCTCTTACATCAGTAAGGAAACACAGAAAGGGAAATTTCTCTTACACAGAAAGGGAAATAAGTGATGACAGTCTGCAATACTCGAAGATTAAAAGAAAAACGTAATCGAAACTTGATAGTAACATAGTCAAGCACGTTATTGACACCGATATTCTCATTTGTTCCCGAAATCCCTCGGCAGACAGGATCGCCGCTATTATTCATTGTATGTGGACCAACGAATCCCTACACGATCTAAATCCGCTCCTATCTCGTTATACTCATCAACTCTTGATCTCGTACTCGATGAAACTTCCAAACGACTCTATACAGAGATCCATAAAAGAAACATTGAACGTAACGTCGTCTTAACCCCGGAACGACTAAAGAGGGAATTCTCGAGGCCGAACACGAGGTAATATGAAAGATACATTGTCTCTCCCATTCGATAAAAATTCCATCAAATTATTTACTGTCGTCCAGGCGAATTTAATATTTCACAAGCGTGCCAATGTCTTTAAAATGTCTGTGCTTATAAAATATATTTCGAAACAAATTTAGATTTGAGAGCGAGTACTGCATTCGTTTCGAAATTGAAAAAAAAGAAAAGATAAAATAATTCGTTAAGCGTTACCACATTGACGACATGTCTTAGTAGAATGTACGTACGATTAAAAACAAACCGAATGAATAATTGAACAATAGATAATTACGGTAAATAAATAAGTTAAATTCAAAGGTCCGCAAACTTAAAGATTGCGATGATTATAAATGCTGATTACTAAAATTAATAAAAGTGTACTGATACTTTCAGGAGTGGGAGTGTATACAATGCATAAGCCTGAGGCTTGATCCCTCTTATTCGCTCCGCCTAACTATCCTCGATTAAAAGGGACGCGGTCTACGTGCAACGAGCGATTGTCCACCGTGGGTGTAGGGAAACGACGTCGGTCACAGTTTCGCGTCGGTCGAGTTTCGCATTGTCCGCCGTCAAAGGCGAGCAGAGAGGGTATTTGCTGTAAAGTCGGCGCGTAGAATGACGTATGGAACGGGCCGATGCCGTGAAAGGCAAACATAAAAGCCTGAAACGAGAGAGAGAGAGAGAGAGAGAGAGAATCTGTACTACGTACCTGGTGTGGCTGCAGGGTGTCAGGGATAGGCCGTGGTGTGCTATTAGCCAGCCGTGCTTACGGGGCGCATAAGCGCAACCTCCACCTCCGAGCTACTCCGGCTTTGTCTCTGCATCCTGAAAAAGCGAGAAATAAACGAAATGAGTTTGACGCCAGCGCGTGAAACGAGGTACGCGCGCGCGTTGTCCTCGTCGGCCGAATATCGTTCGCTTTTCACGACGATATTGCGAAAATTTATATCGGACCGGCGTGCAACAACGCACCGAAAGATTATTCAGTTTCGACGTGTCGACGCCGAGATCCACGACGTGAAATATGAAAGAAGGAGCCAATTCATACTTCAAACTGCTAACGAACGTTATTCACGCCGTAACAACAAGGATATAAGACAGCGTAGCGTGTTGTTGTTATAGTTTATTGCACGCCAGAGTAATTAGCTGCGTCGTGCGTTTATTAGTTCTCAGCGCTTTAATAAATTTGCAAGAGAAATGGAAAGGAACAATGGAGTATCTTTTGAATGTAATATCATAGCTGGTTCAGTGTGGACAAGGTCACGAACGTTTTCAATTAAATTAATATGGTCTTTTGGAAGATTGTCAGTCGTAAATTTGAAACAATAGATATTAAAAAAGAGAATGGTCGATCGAGGTATTGGAATTTGATGAAAGTTACTGTGGTAATTCCTGTGTTGGAAAGAGAAAGTTCAAGAGATAAGAAAAACACGCTACGGTTTCAAGAAGATAAAATTATAATTCAGCAAAGCCAATGTGCAGAGAAACAAAATATAAACAAATTATGCTAATGCTTACTAACGTGCTGAAGGATATTGTATGTCGATTAATAACGTAATAAGAGATATAGATTATTTACACGTCTACAATCTAATGTCCTTATTACACACGAATCTTCCTTCGTCTATCATAAATTGGAAAAAAAATACAGTCACTTCCAAGTTCCAGCATAGTTCCGTAATTAAATGAATCGCATGATATTCCAACAGTCAGGAACACTTTCAAATTGACGTTTAGCAAACATGACCTATGTAATGAGCGAGCCGAACTCCACGCTGAATAAACATGTAAATCAACGACCCACCCTCGTCGGCGAAGACGCTCTTCAACTCGAATAATATACATAGCGCCGAGAGGGTTCTGAATTCCAGCGGCCCTCTGCGGATCGGAATCAGACTGTACATCTACTTGGAAATATACATGATACACCACCGTGTGTCCCAGAGGTATACGTCTGTGTTTCAAGTCGACGACTCGGACTAAAATCGATCGTCTGTCAAATTCGAAAAGCGACAGCCAAAAGGTCCGTGCCACAAGCCACGTTATTAATATTGCTTGCCGGCTCGACGATTTCCTATCGCGCGTAGATACTCGAAATTCCACTTTGAAATTTCTGCCCCGGCTGAACGATATTTGTTCTTGTTTTTTCTCTCTCTCTCTCTCTCTCTCTTCTGTCTCCCTGTTACAATGTCGCTTTTAGATACACGCTGGAAGTTTGATATTGAAAAAGAAAAAAAGAAAAAGAGAGGAAAAAAAAGAGAACGAATGCGGTTCGTCGAGAATTGATAGACGAGAGAGTTGCACCCGCGGGGCTAACGCATCGGTTATTCCGCGTAGAGTGTTGTACGATTGAATGACGCGACGATACTGTCCTTGGTCACGCGGAAGAAGCACGGTCGACGCAGAAAAACGACTATCGACAAACGGTCTAGCTGTTACAAGTATCGATAAACATTACACACAGCGAAAGACACGATCGGACTGTCAAAAAACTGGAGAATATATTTCCACGTTCCTCGTGATTCGAGATTCTTCGTGCTGTTTCACCCTTTGATTCAATACTTTTTTTTTTCTTTTTAGTGAAATTAAATTTGGAACTCAGTCACGATCCTGATTCTCCTATTTTTTCACTTCATTTATACTTTTAAGGTCTTTCCATCGAAGTTACTAGTTACTGAATATCAACAGTCACGAGGAGATGCATAATTATGAATATTCTTCGAAATCCAGTCCGTGAAACATGAAATAATCACGATGAAATGTTGAATATGGCTCAAACCGCAGATGGTTAATAGTTGATTACCACTGAGCTGCGAGTGAAATATTGATCAACCCCTTGACACCTTGAGATAGAAACTTGGTGCAGAAACGAAACTTCCAGGTAGTTGATTTTCATAATTAATAGACGAACGATAAATTCTTTCTCTGTTGCTTCAAATGAGATAATATTTAGAATGTTTCTGTACCTTAATTTTCTAGAAGAAATGACACAGAACAAGTGACTCGTGTTCATTCTATCTAAAAGCACGATTCGTACGAAGATACGAAGTTAGCAAGAAGATAATCGCATAAAAGTTGATTGATATATGGAGAATATAATATATTTAATGTACAGAATATTACTCCAGTTATATACAGTTGTAAGAAATAAATCGAAATTTAAACTTTATATACATCTACACACGTACATATATCCAATTCTTAAAGGGTGAAATGCAAAATTCTGAATACAAGTGACATAGAAAGATATCTTCTTGCGAGTGATGTAATTAAAGGAAAATGAAAATTGAATAGAAATTTCTTTCTATTGCCAATCTACTTTGAATATTTCATACAACTCTGATTATTACGCAGATTCTCGTATATTGAAACTTTCTATAAACGCTTCAACATCCTCGATCTAATAATACGCAAATAACCAGTGACCGGTAAACTATACATAGTTTCTTTCCGCGCTCATTTAACCGCAGCTCGCGCAACGCGTAATAAATATAACATAATTCGCAACAGAAGCGGATCGTTTCGCTCGTCACACCGTGTTCACGGCTGCGTTCGCAGCGTTAATTGTTTTCTAGATTAATTCGCTGATTCTCTGACATGCAACAGATCAAAGTGCAACAAGCGCTGGCAATAATATTAGCCGTATCGCTTAATAACGAGTAGATACGAATTAACCAGATGGTTAAATATTTTCATTAACCGTTCCGTTGTCCATTGTTTCTCTTCTCTCCTTTTTTTTTTACGGTTGATTGGAACGATTAATTAACAAAAACGGTTAATGCCATTCTCGTCGGCCATTAGAAGGCTCGACGTTTCCGTTTATGCAGACGTTCGCGTAATGATCGCGGCAGGAAGAGAGGGGGAGGGGAAAAAGGCTATCGAGCCGTCGAGTTGCTCTTGCCGTCGCCGCCGGAGAAAAGTTTATATTGGATTTCATATTTAATGCAACGCACACCGTCGCCGCGAGGGAGCTCGCTTCCCAGATAAATTATTTATGTCGAAACGCTTTGTCCCTCCAGCCCGGCGAACGAGAGTTGACCCGCATCGACCGAGAATCAGGCACGAACGAAAGAGGGAGGAAAAACAGGGGATGATCGTCAAGAGACCGCGATAAGCTTCCGATTTGAGACGAGAGAAAGTCGTCGGATCCTTTCGAGGTGAGACCACGATGAAATCCCGCTGGATCAACGACATACGCAAATGATATTAACGTGAGAGATGTGCTGTGGACGTCCACGTCGGAAAAGAATCCAGTCATGGATTATTGAAATATTCATAGAATCGCAAAAATCCATTGGCAAGTGCTCCAATCAACGAATTTCCAGTAAGAAAGCATTTAAAACTTGAATTTGCAGTATAAGTATTAATCGAACATGTTGTATTTTCAAAGAGTTGCCAGTTGATATCTTCTCTCGCGTCCTAACGTAAATCTCATTCGACCCAATTAATCCTTTTCGTTATTAAATTCGTTACTGTGTTCTCGCTTCGGAGGATGATCAATTTAAATCTCTCTCATAGGTTATTTGATCTAAAAATTTCTTAAATAGCTTCTAGGGCTCCAACAATATTTTCGTGAGATAATAACGATCGAATATTTATTCGATATTTAGTCGAAGCTTGACAAATTAGATGCGAGAAAATACGAATTTTAAGAATAAAACGGGCGAGAATTTTTCTTTAGCGACTAATTGCTGAAGTTTGTCATACCAGTTATTTTTTAGGCAGTCTTCTTTGAAACTATAGAGCGACCGTAGCCAGATTTGTGGAACACGTATGTACATAGATCTTCACAGTAGCAAAATGATTAAATAGGCCAGTGGAACCCATTTAAATCTAGAAATCATATTGTTAAAAACAAAAGGATCGCTATTTTCGTATAGTTTTAGAGGAGACGAGAAGTCTGCTGACCACGGTCATAATACGATGGTCCGTGACATGCACGAGACATCGAGGTTGCAAAATTACCTCGAAAACAGCGATAATACGTCGGCCAATCTGAAGACCGGCGTCTAACGTAATAAGCAGCCGGGCGTGCTGACGCAAATGCTCGCCAACGATGAATATACGATGCTCGATGACGTAGTGCTTCGGCTGTCGGAAACTTTCCGAGATGTTAACTCATCGCGTGCAAGTTTCAACGATACTCTAAAACTTGTCCCGTTTCAGGGTCTATAGCAACAGAAAATTTGGACAACTCCTGAAAGTTTCAACATTTTCTTCCGACCTTTTCCTTTTTTACTCAAAACGACCAATTTTGAAATTAACCATCCTGTTTTTCGTTAGAAGCGACCACGTCTCACGAAAACATCACCACCAGGTAGTAATAACAAGTTACATAATTACATTTTATGCTAAACTAGACTAGCTGACACAGACATGTGGATAATGTGGAATTTCTTTTTCTCTCCTTTTTTGTATCTTTTTAATTTATCGTGCTCGGATTCGTTAAACGACAAATAAACGATAAACAACAAGAATTCGACGATCAGTCGCGTTTTCTGTGAGAGATAATTTTTATAAAAATTTGCACATTGATGAATTTCACTTGATCTTCACTTTTAAAAACGGAAAGGCAGACGAGACGAAGAAGTGTGAAAGAGCAAATGAAGAAAATGAACGTGACGTTAAATGAATTTTTATGGCTTCGTCGCGAAACGTAGGTCACCGACGATCGATCTCTCTTCGTCGGCTGCTCCGCTTGATAATAATAAAGGATTGATATTCTTTAAAAGCGACGTCGATTGCCCTGTAGTGCATCGTTAATAGTCCGCAAGTGCTGTCCTTCGTGTAATGACCGTCTGGAAAGTCGAATTCCCGATATTTCA